GGCAGGGTATCTTTATGTACTTTGGAAAAGAAGCATAACTGGAGTCACCCCATAACAGAGTCACCTTACATCTGCCCTTCATGTAAAAATGCAAGTCTGATAGGAGAGCTTCAGTATACTTATCCAGAGTGATTTCTAGTTGATGACTGGGGATTATTTATTAATCATTTAACTGGTTGAAGATTTTAAAGTTATGTTTTCAATTTGTTTCATTGTTGTTTGTATTAATTTAAAAAGGTGAGCTCTGTAAAGATAACTTGGGATTAAAGACAAAACCACCAGTATTCAACATGTAATTTTCTAGGTATGCATCTCATAATAAATATCATGGAGGATAAAAAGAACTTGCAAGTCATTTAGCCAACACTTATTTACCACTGATTATATTCCAATGATATCTAGTAGCAAAGTAATATTGCTTGACTCAATCTGTCAATCATTGCGATGGTATCAGGAGAGAAATAATATATCAAGGGAAAATTACAGAAAAGAGAAAATGGGACTTCCAGCCAAGATGGAGGTGTAGGTAGACACATTATACCTCCTCACACAATCAAAACAAGGACACCAACAAACTTAAAAATAAAAAACAACCAGAACTGACAGAAAATCTAACTGTATGGAAGTCTGACAACCAAGGAGCTAAAGAAGATACACTCATCCAGACTGGTAGGATGGGTGGAGACAGGCAGCCGGGCAGAAAGGACTCATAGCAAGACAGTGGCTGGAGGACTGGGGCCTGCTGGTGGAGCAGGTGAGGCAGTGGCTTGTGGACTGGGCAGTCCCACATTTTGGGGCAGATAAATCAGGAGGAACAACTAGGGATCAAGACAGACTGCAAAACCCAGGGTTCCAGTATGTGGAAGTAAAGCCTCAAAGCCTCTGACTGAAAACACTTGTGGGAGTTGAGGCAGCAATGGGAGAAACTACTACTCTCACAGGAGAGTTTATTGGCGAGACCTACAGGGTCCTAGAATGTACACAAAACCACCCACTGAGGAATTAGCACCAGAAGGGCCCAGTTTGCTTGTGGGTGGCAGTGGAAGTAACTGAAAGCTGGCAGAGAGCTGAACAAGTGGCATTATTCCCTCTCAGACCCCTCCCTCATGTACAGTGCCACAGTGCAATGATGTGGATTGCCCTGCCCTGCTGAACATCTAAGGCTGCACCCCTCACTACCTAACAGGTGCACTGAGGCAAAAGAAATGGCCCGAATGAAAGAAAAGATCAAAGTTCCAGAAAAAATACAACTAAGTGATGAAGAGATAGCCAACCTATCATATGCACATTTCAAAACCTTGGTGATTAGGATACTCACAGAATTGGATGAACATGGTCCCAAATTAGAGGAAGTAATGAAAAGTGAAATAAAGAAAAATATACAGGGAACCAACAGTGATGGGAAGGAAGCTGGGACTCAGATCAACGGTTTGGAGCAGAAGGAAGAAATAAACATTCAACCAGAACAGAATGAAGAAACAAGAATTCAAAAAAATGAGGAGAGGCTTAGGAACCTCTAGGATATCTTTAAATGTTCCAACATCTGAATCATAGGAGTGCCAGAGGAGAAAAGGAAGACCAAGAAATAGAAAATTTATTTGAAAACATAATGGAGAATGTCCCCAATCTGGCCAAGGAAATAGACTTCCAGAAAGTCCAGGAATCTCAGAGTCCCAAAGAAGTTGGACCCAAGGAGGAACACACCAAGGCACATCATAATTACATTACCCAAGATTAAAGATAAGGAGAGTGTTAAATGCAGCAAGAGAAAAGGAGGCAGTTACCTACAAAGGAGGGCCTGTAAGACTGTCAGCTGATTTCTCAAGAGAAATTTTGCAGGCAAGAAGCTGCTAGAAAGAAGTATTCAAAGTCATGAAAGGCAAGGACCTACATCCAAGATTACTCTATCCAGCAAAGCTATCATTTAGAATGGAAGGGCAGATAAAGTGCTTCTCAGATAGGGTCAAGTTCAAGGAGTTCATCATCACCAAGCCCTTATTATATGAAATGCTAAAGGGACTTATCTAAGAAAAAAAAGATAAAAAATATGAACAGTGAAAGGACAATAAACTCACAGTTATTAACAACCGAACCTAAAAAATCCCAACAACTAGAATAGGAACAGAATCACAGAAATGGAGATCACATGGAGGGTTATTAGTGGGGGAGTGGAGGGACAGAGGGAGAAAAAGTACAGAGAATAAGTAGCATAAATAGTAGGTAGAAAATAGACGAGGGAGGTTAAAAATAGTATAGAAAATGTAGAATCCAAAGAACTTATCTGTATGACCCATGGACATGAACTAAAGGGGGGAATGTAGGTGGGAGAGGATGTGCAGGGCAGAGGAGAATAAAGGGGAGGAAATGGGACAACTATAATAGCATAATGGATAAAAAATATTTTTTAAAAGAGAAAATGTAATATAAAATAAAATAGAGAAAATGTAACTATATTTAGTGATAATCCAAAGAAAGAAGAGAAAGAAGAGAAAAATGTAGACCACCGGTGGCAAATATAAGGCCCTCAGGCCAAACCCGGCCCTCCACTTGTTTTATCCAGACTGACACCTTGTTTCTACCTGGTGGCTGTACCGAGCTCCTTGCCCCTAGTTAAGGAGTAGTTGCATTGATACAGTCCTAAAATTACATTCGGCCCTTTGAAGACAAGCACAAGGCTGATGTGGCCCCTGGTGAAAATGAATTTGACACCCCTGATCTAGACCATCTGTAGGGAGGAGGAATGGGATTCAGCAATTAGTTTTGGGCAGTGTAACATCTGTTTAGTGAACTGCAGGTTGGCTGGAGTCCCTCATACGCAGCTCAGCCACATCTTCTGTCTCCTGAATTACATCAGCTATACCCTGCTTTTTCCCTCTCTTTCCTCCAATACACTCTCTGGGCTACAGACTCCATGATCTCTTTAAGATGAAATCTGGACCTGACCATTGTGTCTCAGTGGGCTGGACATCATCCAACAAAGCAGAAGATTACTGGTTCCATTCCAGATCAAGGCACATGCTTGGGTTGTGGGCCAGGTCCGAAGTTGGGGGCATGTGAGAGGGAACCGATAGATGTTTCTCTTGCACATCAATGTTTCTCTCCCTTTTTCTCTCTCCCCCCTTCCCCCTCTCTCTAAAAATAAATAAATAAAATACTAACCTTTTAATTTTTTAAAATATTTTATTTATTTATTTTTAGAGAGAGGGGTAGGGAGGGAGGAAGAGTGGGAGAGAAACATCAATGTGTGGTTGTCTCTTATGCACTCCCTACTGGGGACCTATTGCCTCCCAAATGTGGCCTGTCTGTGGACCTAATCTACAACTGAAGGCATGTCCCCTGACCAGGAATAAACTAGTGACCTTTAGCTTCGAGGGACGATTCCCAACCAACTGAGTCACACTGGTCAGGGCATTTATTACCACTTCTAAAGCGAGAACTTAGCCCTGATCTCTGAGCATCAGATTTCTCAACCCCTACATCTGAAACTGTCTTCTTTGCAACCATTTTGGTAAATGGCCATCACCTACTAATGACTTCCCATTTCCTCAATCCCAACCCTCCCTCCTTTCCTGTGTGATTCATTAGCAAATTCTGTCCATACTACCTGGTGTGTATACCCAGCAATTGTTCTTTTCTCCCTATGTCCACTGTCACAACCTTAATTCAAGTCACCATCCTCTCTCCTGATCTATTTGCAGTATGACACTCTCCAGTGTGGTACTTGCATTGGGATGGCGTTGGCACTGTGGATGGGTACGTGCACTTGTACATGGGGTCATTGTTCTTTTATACCTTGGAAAGGAATCCCTTTGAATTTTAGTAGACACTGCTGTTTGTCTCTGCTTCCACACTTAAGCCCTGCAATCTTTTAATGGATTTGAAGACATTCTGCTTACCTTGACTCCCTCATTTTATGACACTTAAATTCCTGTCACTCTGGATCTCTTTCAGTCCCTTGATATGTGGAGACAATTAACCTCACTTTGTGCTTAGCCCTGTCTTCCTGAAAACTCTCCCCTCAGCTTTTCCATAGCTGGTTCCTTTTTGCCCTTCGGATCTGATCTCCAAAGTCACCTCTCCAGGTAGACCTTCCTGATGTCTATATCAAATTTGGTCTCCCAAATACTGTCCATCAAGGCATCTAGTTTACTGCCCTATCTGGCATTAATCACCACATGCAGTTGTTTTAATTGGATTTATTGTTTGTTTTTAAAGAAACTACAAAATCTTTAATTTTTGTAATCCCTTCTCCAGTAGGATAGGCAGATAAAATACAGAATGCCCAGTTAATTTTGAAGTTCAGATAAACAGTAAAATAAGGTTATTTTGTACATGATATTGGGACATACTTACACTGAAAAAAATTATCCGAACTTCAAATTAACGTGGTGTCCTGTATTTTTATTTGCTAAATCTGGCAGCCTTACCATGGAGGTGTCTTGCCCTTGTCTCGCTTGTTCTGGGTTATATTCTCATGGCCTAGCCCAGAGCCTGCCACTTAGGTGTTCAGTTTACTTGCTGCCATTTTTATGTTGTTTTCTCCCCATCTGACATTTATCAGAATTTCACCCATTCACCGAAAATTCTTGTTAAACACATTTTTGGTAAAATATACTTTATTATCTAAAGTTCTTTGTTTTCCATTTCCGCAAAATTGGCATGGGAATATCTACCCTAATCACGCTAGTTTTGAGAATTAAGTGAGGTATGGGGTGTTAACGTTTAGCACTGTGCCTGGCTCAGTAGAACACGCAATAATTTCGGTTCTTGATTAACTGCGGCCTACCAACCATTTTAGCAGAAAGCAAAAACGCGGGTTTGGGGGGAGCAAAGGTGGGGGCTGGGAAGACGGTTAAAACCTGCGCGGGCCAAAAAACTGCGAGTCCGGAAAAGGGGGTGGAGATAAGAGTGAATGATAGAGAAGATAGCCAATGGGAAGACTGGGAACTCTCCTCCCCCACACTTTTCTTGCGTTTCAAATTCTGAGCTCCGTTTTCATCCGGGTCCTTCAGCCTCGTTCCCGGGCAGTATAAAGTTTGCTGTCTCCTTTGTTCGCCCTCGTTGCGCAGTAGTTCCAGCTGGTTCTTTCTTCCGTCTTGGGAGCCATTGGCTCTCCCTCGTGCTGAGCGGCTAGGAAACCTCTGTCGGGGAGCTCATAGGAGCTTGGAACCGTCGTCACCCCTACGGTAAGTGTATCTTTTCAGTAGCATTTTTCCAGCCACTCTTGCCATTTTAGAATTTCGGATTATCTCCCAGGAGATGGGGCTGACGGGCGCCATTTTAAGAACCCAAAGGTGCCGACCTATTTAGTTATAGCTGAGCTTGTCGAAGGGATACAAATGTAGTGGTCGTTTTGGTCGCATCACTCGAGAAAGTTCGGCTGTTGCCTACGGGGATAGTAGCGGAGGTCAGGGATGCAGCTGGACGAGGACATACCGCGCCACCGCGGTGCCTGCATTAGGATGGCGCCGGCACTATGGATGGGCACGTGCACTTGTACACGGGGTCGTTGTTCATTTATACCTCGGAGAGGAATCCCTTTGAATTTTAGCAGCCGTTGTTACGGATAAAAGTTACTCCTCTGGCCGGTGTCGGTTGTTCTGGGTTGAGTCCAAGTGTCGCCATTTTGTGTTTTCCACGTTTTTTTTTTTTTTTTTTTTTTTAGTTTATTTTTAGAGGGAGAGAAGCATCAGTTTATCGTTGCCTCTTAGATGCCCCAAACTGGAAATCTGGCCTGCAACCCAGGCATGTGCCCTGACTGGGAATCAAACCGGCCACCCTTTACTTCGTAGGCCCACTCAATCCACTGTGCCACGCCAGCCAGGATTTCATGGTTTTTTAAAGATGGTTTTCAATTGGGTTCTGCTGCAGTCATGGAATGTTGAGCGACACAGGGTTTTCATGTTCCATTATTTATTATGAAATAATTTTTGGCACTTTAAAGTTTTTGTGACCTTTTCGGCCGGCCAAGGGCTGAGTTAAAAGGAAAGACAGAACTTGCCTCAAACTTTAAATTTTTTAATAAATTTACTGTGGACACCTAATGGTAAAATACAAAGTTTTGGAACAGTGCTCGGTGTTAAGGATCTGCATCTGGTCTGTGACCTTGAATGAGTCAGTCTTTAGGGTGATTAGGATGTAATTGTATTTTTAAAAGGCTGGAAATCTGGGATTAAAACTAAAACTTTTTCAAATGCCGAGTAGCCGATACGCGACTAAAACTGCAAGGTAGATTAAGGGTAAAGGCAAAAATTAAGTTGGTCCTTTAACCAGTGTAGTGCAAACTGTTATGGCTTAACTAATTAATTTGGGTTTCCTCCCGATGTTTAGAAAATACTGCTTTTGGTTTCTTTAGTTATTAAAGAGTAGTGGTTTCAGTAAAACAAAAATAGACCCCAATAGAAATTCATGTCCGATAAACTTGAGGAACTTATCTGGGAAAGATAATACTATACTCTTTTTCAGTAGACTCGCACCAGGGGGTAAAATGGTTGAAGCTGATCGCCCGGGAAAGCTCTTCATTGGTGGCCTCAATACAGAAACAAATGAGAAAGCCCTTGAAGCAGTATTTGGCAAATATGGACGAATAGTGGAAGGTGAGTTTATCTGAAAGTATTTGCTGGGCTATTTTGTAATTAAAAAGGGAAGCTGTGATGAATTTAATTGCAGTGATCATCTGAAATGATCATTTTGTCCTCTAAGAAGTTCTGAGCTTTTTTTTTAAAGATTCATTTTTTTTAATGCATTCTTATTAGAATAACACTTTCTTAACCCTAAAAATAACTTTTTTTAGTACTTCTGATGAAAGATCGTGAGACCAACAAATCAAGAGGATTTGCTTTTGTCACCTTTGAAAGCCCAGCAGATGCTAAGGATGCAGCCAGAGACATGAATGGAAAGGTGAGATTGTCTGCACACCGATAGTGTTTACTAGTGTGTAAAATAGCACAGCATTAGCCAGCTCTGGCCTAGGGCATCTCTTCAATTTTGTTTTTGAGTGTGTACCTTTCCAGGACCCTATGATCTTAGCCCTTTGTAACTTTATAACCAGATTTACAGATTTCACTGTAACAAGAATTCAGAATGTTGTGTTTACTTTACCTGGGATTTGTGAACTGCTTTAGTAGCCTGCCTTTTATTTTGGGTTATTAGTTTTGAAAAGTTGATAGCTGGCCTTGTTTAAAATACTACCTACTAGTAATGCAGTGGACCTACCATATTTGCTTCAAACCATCAGTAGAAGACTTAAAGACTAGTAGGCATTTTAAGTAAATGAAAAAGTAGTTTTATTACATTTTGAGGGGTACTAGTGTTACAATGCACAGTGGGTCTTCTACCAGTTCTTTCTAAACATTAATGTAATTAACCACTTTGATATCATTTAGTCCTTAGATGGAAAAGCCATCAAGGTAGAACAAGCCACTAAACCATCATTTGAAAGTGGTAGGCGTGGACCACCTCCACCTCCAAGAAGCAGAGGCCCTCCAAGAGGCCTTAGAGGCGGAAGAGGAGGAAGTGGAGGAACCAGGGGACCTCCCTCACGTGGAGGACACATGGGTAATGACTTGGGCCTATCTCAGACTTGGTATATTACTTAGGAACTGCAAACCTCCACCATGTGTGCTTTGGTTAAGTCTTTGTTGAAAGGGGCCAGCTTTGGCAATTGAGAACACATGCTTATCTACTAAAGTGATAATGACTTGAAAACAATAGTGTTTTTTAAATAATGGAGACTAAACTATCCAGGTAGTTTTACTCTGTTGGAAAAAAGCACTTGCAGAAATATTTTGATAGGCATGGGAGCTTGGGCAGATTAAAATTTCATAGATGCTTGGCATATTAAAATTAAGGCTACCCTTCGTTTTATTTTACTAGTCTATGTAGACTTTATTCTTAGTCTTGTAAAAGTGAAAATTAAAGCAAGATTTCCCAACTAAACAAATATGATCCAGCAAAGATCTTTTTATCGCTTTTTCTAAAGAGTATTGACATATTTTTCTGTTCTGTTGTAGATGATGGTGGCTATTCCATGAATTTCAACATGAGTTCTTCCAGGGGACCACTTCCAGTAAAAAGAGGACCACCCCCAAGAAGTGGGGGTCCTCCTCCTAAAAGATCTGCTCCTTCAGGACCAGTTCGCAGCAGCAGTGGCATGGGAGGAAGAGGTAAATGTTCCATTAACAATATATCCTAGATGCTCAATATTGCTAGCTATCAGAGAGATGCAAATTAAAACCACAATGAGATACCACCTTACACCAGTCAGAATGGCTATCATAAACAAAGCAACAAACAACAAATGTTGGAGAGGTTGTGGGGGAAAAGGGGTCCCTAGTTCATTGTTGGTGGGAAATGCAGACTGGTACAACCATTATGGAAAACAGTATGGAATTTTCTGTGAAAACTAAAAATGGACCTGCCTTATGACCCAGCAGTTCCATTGCTGGGACTATATCCTAAGAACCCTAAAATACCAATCCAAAAGAACCTATGCACCCCAATGTTCATAGCAGCACAATTTACAATAGCCAAGAGCTGGAAGCAACCTAGGTGCCCGTCGGTAAATGAATGGATCAAAAACTACGGTACATATATACAATGGAATTCTATGCAGCAGAGAGAAAGAAGGAACTACTACCCTTTGCAACAACATGGATGGAACTGGAAAGCATTATGCTGAGTGAAATAAGCCAGGTGTTGAAAGACAAATACCATATGATCTCACCTTTAACAGGAGACTAAACAACAAAACAAGCAAGCAAAATAAAAACTACACCGAAATCAAGAACGGGGACAGGGACCGGAGAGGGGAGGGGAGGGAATTTCAGGGGGAAAAGGGGAGGGATTTACAGGAACTAGTATCAAGGACACATAGACAACAACTAAGGGGGTGGAAAGGGGAGGGAGGTGGGGGGCACGGGGGAGGGCTGGGATGGGAGTAAAATAGAATACTGTAGTTGAAAAATAATTAAAATATCCTGTCACCATAACATAAAAGGTTATAGAGAATAAAATATCTTGATTTACTTACATGTTATATGTCACTTAATCACTAGTTTTCATTGTCTGGGTATAAATTCACATTTTAATTTTTTCTTTGGGTATATTTTAATAATGATTATTTTTTCTTAAGCTCCTGTATCACGTGGAAGAGATAGTTATGGAGGCCCGCCTCGAAGGGAACCCCTGCCTTCTCGTAGAGATGTTTATTTGTCCCCAAGAGATGATGGATATTCTACTAAAGACAGGTAACAGAAAAAAGTAGTAGCTTTGTCTCATTAATAATTAGTGTCAAAGGGAGGAGGAGCTCACTAAAAGTGTAAACCAAGTTATTTTTATTTTTGTAGCTATTCAAGCAGAGATTACCCAAGTTCTCGTGATACAAGAGATTATGCACCACCACCAAGAGATTATACTTACCGTGATTATGGTCATTCCAGTTCACGTGATGACTATCCATCAAGAGGGTATAGGTAAATAACTTCCCCTCGTGGTTTTGCTGTGAAATTTGATATTCTGGGACTGACAGGTTTTTCTCTTAATTTAGTGATAGAGATGGCTATGGTCGTGATCGTGACTATTCAGATCATCCAAGTGGTGGTTCCTACAGGGATTCATATGACAGTTATGGTAAGATACTGGTTTAGTGTCTTTGAATATCACCAGCTTGAGTTTTTAGGTTCATGAGCCAGTTTACTAGGCTGTGTGGTGCTTGCTTTTAAAGGGATGTTTGCTTGCTTTTAAGGGGATAACTATAAGCTGGGCTTTTCCTAGTTTTGTGAGGGGCTTTTGTTTTTTCTAATTTTTTTTGAGGCTGTTTGCTTGCTTTGGAGGGGATTTTGCTTGCTTAAATTGGCAGCCTTATGTGTTTTCCCCCAACAGTGAAAGTACAATTTAAAAATTTTATTAACAACATCAAATGTTTACCATTCCAATATGAAGGAAAGTCTACAGTTCAAAATTGCAACTTATCACTGGAAAGTGGCTGAGTGTCTACTATAAAATAACAAGCTGTCTGGAATATCCTCTTGAAATACACACCGTCTTCAGTCTTTTCAAACAAACATTAAAACCCATCCATTTCCATATCTCAGCAAATGAGCAAATCCCTGTTAATGGCCAGCAATGGCAGAGTTTAAAACCTCCCAGTTGAGAAAGTAAACGTTTAATACAGAAATTCTGTAAATTCAGATTTAAATGTTGTATATATACAATTTATAGTGTTGCCATATTACCTGACCATTGACCCTGCAGGTAACTCACGTAGTGCTCCACCTACACGAGGGCCCCCGCCATCTTATGGTGGAAGCAGTCGCTATGATGATTACAGCAGCTCACGTGACGGATATGGTGGAAGTCGAGACAGTTACTCAAGCAGCCGAAGTGATCTCTACTCAAGTGGTCGTGATCGGGTTGGCAGACAAGAAAGAGGGCTTCCCCCTTCTATGGAAAGGGGGTACCCTCCTCCACGTGATTCCTACAGCAGTTCAAGCCGCGGAGCACCAAGGGGTGGTGGCCGTGGAGGAAGCCGATCTGATAGAGGGGGAGGCAGAAGCAGATATTAAAAACAAAACTTTGGACCAAAATCCCTGTTCAAAGAAACAAACAAAAAGTGGAACCTATTCTGTCATAACTACCCAAGGACTACTAAAAGAAAAAATTGTGTTACCTTTTTTAAATTTCCTGTTAAGTTCCCCTTCCATAATTTTTATGTTCTTGTGAGGAGAAAAGTAAAACATGTTTAATCTTAAGGCATTGCTTTCTTACAAGCAAATGTTAAATGTGTTAAGGCTTGACTTGTGTACTAGTGTTGTAATTTTCCAAGTAAAAGTGTCCCTAAAGGGCCACTTTCTAATTTTTTCCCAGTAAATGAGGCAAGCAATTCTATAAGATTTTCTACAAATATCTAGCCATCTAAAATGGAAAGATGAATCCCTCAGCCTATACAAACAAGCTAGCTATTAGAGGGTGGTTGGGGTATGCTACTCTTAGGATATCATACTGTCCATCAAACTAAAATCTCAAATGTTCTCAGTATGAAAAACCTGAGATCAGATGCTTATGTAAAAAAAAAGTGCTATTCACCCAGTAAACCCAAAACAAATGGATAGTGCTGGCCATATTTTGCCTTTCTGACATTTCCTTGGGAATCTACAAGAACCTCACCTCCCCTTTCCCCCTCCCCCAATAAGACCATTTAAGTGTGTGTTAAGCAACTACAGAATACTAAATAAAAAGTTTGGCCAAAACCAACCATGAAGCTGCAAACGGTGCTTGCTCTTACTGTTTCAAATTTTTGCAACTCTGTAGTGTCTCACTTTTAAGGAACAGCTTGATTGCAAAGGAGAAAATAGATAAGCAATGAAGTTATCTCCAACTTCTCAAAGGCTTATGACTTCTAAAAAGTGAATCTATCAGCATTCCACATCAGATTTAAAGCATCAAATGCCTGTGAAACAGCAAAGATGGTAAGCAAAGCAAACTAGTTTTTCCGTCTAAGTCGAAATTGAACACTTCCTCATAGTACAGTGAAACATACTGTACCTCATGGCAGTGGAAATGCTTTCTAGATTAAAAAAAAAAACTTTTGGAAAAGCAAAGTGTTCTGTAGCACATTAGAAGTCTTACAAATTCAACTCTTGGATTTCTTTTTTTTAAAGCATGTATGACACTTAAAGGCCTTAATACAACTGTTTACCAATAGCCACCTGGGGCTTGGGAGGGGGGGTAACTTTTTAAGTATTTTTGATGAAGACCTTTAAACATGCTTCATATATTTTAACATTTTTCAAATTAGACTTTTAGTCAATATAGGAAATGGCTTGACTTTGGGGTCCTCCTCTTCCTACCCCTGTAAGCCATTGTAAACTTGACATTTAGTTGGATGCCTGACTTGTTTTTAGTTCTGTGAAACTACACTGTATGGAGAAAATCTATTGCAAGTGGTCTTTAAAAAGCAAAACCTGAGGCAACATGACCCAGGTCCAGCCACGGAGTTGAAAAAGATGCTCTTGAATATAGTAAACTTGAAGACCTCCAACTAAAAATCCTTGTACTGCACTTATTCCTTCAAATAAGTTTTGTCCGTTCAACTTATGGATTTAACATGGCAGTGCACCATTGGAACAGAATGAGAATCCATAAGCCATGCAACTTAACCATTTAAGACATTCCAGTCCATCCCAAGCCAGTGACTCTTCCACCAATTAAGAGAAGTAGTAGAACATGAAATACGTTAAGCTGCAAGTCTGAACTTGCCTTTTCTTTCTGGCAAAGGGGACAGTAAGTTATAGGCAAGTTTTGAAGAATTTCCTTAAGAAAGATAACTAGTTATGTATTTAATTTTTACAGGTTGAGGATTATGGTCACAGAATGCTGATTTATTCACACTAGATAAACCTGGCAGCAAGAGAAATCAAATACTAAGGTAAGTTTTGAACGCAGAGGCTTTTATAGCTTTAAGTACTATAGTTTTGCCACTATGCATGGCTGGAATATTAAGTTATCTGTAAAAGGGATAATCTTATAGATTAGGAGAATCAAGTAATGTGTGACACCCTGCATATTAAATGTTAATTTGAATGTAGGATGAAGTTTTTTTAAGCAAGTATATTTCCATTATGGCTCAGTCATGTGTGACTCTCCACTATTTTTGAATGTATAAAATCTGTTAGTACTATGTCTGCATAAGCAGTTGTTGAGTAGAGATAACATACTTCATGTTTTGGCACATGAACAAAATTTTCTTGTACCAGGTTCAGACTTGCTCCTGGGCATTTTGTAAAAAAAACACCCTTTTTATTATCAGTGCCTGATGGTTTGCAGAGCCACAGTACAATCCATTAAAGGCAGACTTGATGCAGCTGTTACTAAGCTCCCCGTTTGAGTAACCGTTCTATTGGTGTAATGATATAATTAACATACAGTCTTAATATTACCAAAGTGACCCTTACTGGAATTTTACTGGGTATTTACAGTAACCATTGAGAGCTTAACAATTTAAAGAAAATGCATTATTGTTCACTATTTAAAGAATAGGTAAGGGGGTAGTAATTTTCATCTTAAAACATGTCCTGATGTGATCACATGCTTTTCATTTTACAGAGTTGTTGAAGCAGAAGAATGCTGATTGTGGATAAGGCACAACAGTTGCATAAGCAGTGCTCATCATAATTGGTTTGGTGCAGGCAATAGATTTTTTTTTTGCCTTCAAGGGTTCTTGTGGGTCTGAGGAAGGCATCAGTGTTGGTTAGCACTCTTAACTAGGGAGTGGTAGTTACTTAAAATAAGTAATGATTGACCAGACGGAGAAAGGGGAGTAATTAAGGAAATTAGTAAGTGGAGGTAGTGAGGAAGTTCTTACGGTTCTTTATGTAGATTTTAATAGCTTTGGCTTTCATTTTGTTTAGCTAAATAAAGTCATAGGAACAACTCTAATTTAGAACTTCCTAATTATCAATGTCAGAAAGTTAATTAGAAAAATGAAAGGCATACGTGGTATCTCTATCCAGTAAAGTGTCTGATTTTCAGCAAGTGAAACACTTCCTGCTGTTTATCCGGAAGTGGGACATAGTCATAAAACAAAACTAAAGGGAAGAGTCAATCTAGAAACTTAAGTAACTGGAATCATGGCTAAAATGATTGAAAGTATATTTAAAAACTGGAAACAAAATTGGGTCATTTGGCTTTTGTTTAAACTATTGATTTTGTAAGCCGACTTTACCCCTACCTCCTGTCTTGGAAACAAAATGAGATAAAACATCATGTTGGAGATTAGAGCCAATAGTATAAAAGCTATTGTTCAGAGGAAACATTTGAATTGTTGGGTTAGAAGAACCAAGTCAACTTGAGAATTTTTGCATAGCAAGATAGCAGTACTATCATGTCCAACATTTGCAATTGTGGAGAATAATCCAAAAAAAGTAACCCTCACTTGACACTCTTAGTCACAGACTCTGAGGGTATTGACCAAATTTAAATTGCTCTTGCACTTACATAACTGTCTTTGATCCTAGAATCTAAATTACTTGGGTTTATGCTTTTGGCTCCTGAGGTTTTATTTAGGTACCTTGATGATAGTGTAGAACATTGAGCATAGTAAATATGAATGTTAAATTCGAATTAAGAAGTATGCTTAAGTGACCAGACAGCTGTTTGGCAAATAGTTTATTGACCCAGCAGACTTAATTCTGTTCTCATTGGAAAAGAATTGGTCTTGATTCTTCTGGCTTTATACTGGTTGTAAAAGAAACAGAATGATATAGTGTGTTCCTTGTTTAGTTGAATATAAAACGTAGGTATTATAGATCACTTTCCTCTTTTTGGAATGTTTTGTATTTGAAACTTAATAAAACTTAATATGCATTTTTGTGGCCCTGGTTCTTTTCTTTCTTTTTTGCAATAAGGACTTTATTTAGGCTTAAGTATGGCATTAACAGGTCCCCTTCCCCCCAGGGTAGTTCTCATTCCCTGTTGGCACTTATTAGGGAACATAGTCACTTAAGCTACACTCTTGCTTTATTTGGGCAGTGAGCTTCAAGTAGGCATCAAGGTAATTTGGATGATTTCATTTAATGCTTACCCTGAAATGAAATGGTAGCAGTAACTACAAAATCTGAAAGCTAAAATAACAAAGATGTACTGTCGCACTTTTAAACTTGCATTTTTGGTCAGGCAACTGTTTGGTAGTGAATCCCACTTTGGACAAAGTCCTTCAGTGTTGCTGTTAAACCAGTACATGACTGTTTCTGTAATGGCAACTTGGTTTTTTGGCTCTTAACTACTGTTCGACATCCATCTGACTCCTGATGTTTAATTCCACAAAACAAGTACTATTTGTTTTTATTCAAGGGAAAATCATGGGTTAAGAGTATCCCTGTTCCCAAGATCTATAGAGCATTAGGAGAGTCAACACAGAAATGACATGATTGGCTACCAGGTCCAATTAGGGTAAGGTGAGCTAGCTAAGGCTGAGTTGGAGGATTGTGATTGGTATAATGTTAGATTTCTTTGACAGGTGTTTTCTGTGTATGTAGACTGACTTGAGCTTAGACTTGTGACATGGGCCAGGCCACTGGGGCAGCTTCCATTTTGTGGTTCTAATATACATTAATTCTACTGACACATAAATTTGGGTTTTGTAGTTGAGCAGAATTTAACCACATGGAAAGGGAATATTAGAGTATAAAAATGGCAGGTAAAGCCCCCAGGTATTGTTCTGTGAATAACTTCAACCCAAAACCAGTTCCAGAAAAATTTTCATCCCAGTCAATAGCTCATCTCCCACTTCCAGAGAAGCAACCACCTGATTTCTATCATTACAATTTTTTACATATTTAACTCCATACAAATTAAAATATTACATGAATGTATTTTTTTACAACTAGCTGCTTTTTGTGTGTTTTGAGATTATGTAGTGTGTTCATACTTTAATTATAGCATACAATTCCAGTGTATACTTAATGGTGTATAGTTTATCCATTCTATTGATGGACTTCTGGGGTGTTTGCAGTTTCGGGCTATTGAGGCTAAAATATTTCTATGAATATTCTTCTACAAGTATTGGACAAAATACTTGTGATTTTGTTCTTTTGGATCAATATCTTGGAGTGGAATTGTAGTGTTAATAGGGTAGATGATGTAATGTATAAGAAACTGCCAAAT